TGTAGAGTCCATTTAATCAAAGCTCATAGAGTGGCAGATCTGCTACTAGATGCAGTGACTAGCTGTAGGCAAAACAAAGAAGGTGGCTGATTTTCATCAAACCGTGATTCTTTCCTTGACTCCATCTGGTGGCCGGGGTTCTGTGCCCTCTTCCTCCTGCCAAATTCTGCTTTAAAGCCGAACAAATAGAGTCAGACAGGGAAGAAAGGGAGAACTCCTTATCTACTCCATATGTCAAGAAATAAAGCTATCGGGGGCCGGAGAGATGGGCTCAGTGGTTAAGAGCACTGGTCATTCTTGCACAAGACCCAGGTTCAAATCCCAGCACCCACGTGGTGGCTAACAACCATCCATAATTCCAGCTCCAGGGGATCCAACACCATTTTCTGTCCTCTGAGGGCACTGCACAACACAGGTGCACTTACACACATGCAAGCAATACACTCATACCCATAAAAGAAAAATATTTTCATTAATTAAAAATTTTAAAAAGAAATAAAACTGTCTTCTATAGAAGACCCATTCAGAGGCCAATACTTCAGTTCAGTGCATTAAAAGTGAGTTGCCAGAAAATGAATGAATGACATTCAAAATACAAGTCTCAGTTTCTTTATTGGCTTTAAAATACTTAAAATTACATCCAATACATAAAAATCAAAGCAAGCATAGAGAAGAAACACTAAGCACCATAGGCCAGTGCATTCTAAAACCTACACACCCTTTGCCAAATACTGATAAAAACTACCATGCATCCAAAATAAAAATAAAAATAAAAAAGCGGGCGTGGTAGCACACGCCTTTAATCCCAGCACTCAGGAGGCAGAGGCAGGCGGATCTCTGTGAGTTCAAGGCCAGCCTGGTCTACATAGTGAGTTCCAGGACAACTGGAGCTACAGGGAGACCCTGTCTCAAAAAGAACAAAAAAAAACTACCATGCAGCACTTTAATTTTCATTCTCAATGGGAAAATGTGGAGGTAAAAGGAGAGATGCTTTTGTTTTAGAATGTCAGCCACCACCTGGGAAGTGAGAGCTCCATGTTAAAAAGGGGGATCCCGGGCCTCTCGGAAGCCAGCATGCACATGCCCAGGCAGGTGGTACGGCGTGGGTAATAGGCATAGGTCCTGAGACTAAAAATACCAGCAGCAGAAGCTCAAAGAATCGTCACACTTTGGTCTTGGTAGACACCTACCCGATGAAGCACGGTGGTGGTGGCTTTTGTCTTAGCTCTTATGAAGTGTTTGTGATGGCAAGATCTAGCTTCCAGAACTCCACTAGCATGCAAGGAAACAAAGGTTTAAAATGGAGAATTTTTAAATACAAAATTAAGTGTAGTGAGCAGCTCAGTTTGAGAGCAGAAATATTTGCTGGTATATGAGCAGAAAATTAATAGGAAACTAAGAGTATTATTATCAATAGGAAACAAAACTAAGAGTTTAAAATTAAATAAAAACATTATAGACTTCACAGGGACCACTTGGTAAATTCTTAATAAAAAAATATAAAGAGCTTTGAACATTAAACTGTATTAAAATAATATTTGTAACTTAAGATGGTAATTTATATAATGAGAAAAACACATTGACTTTGATTTGTTGCATATTGGTACAGTTCTAGAATTATAATCCTAGAGTTCTGTTTGGGGCACGTCTACCTTGAATCAAATTGTGAGGGAGCTAGAATCTGAACACACATCAGCATTTTTTTCATGAAATTGTCAAATAAGCAAAATTTGTGTGTTTCCCCCTTTCCTTGCCTGACAGACTAGTGGCTGCCTTGTCTTTTCCTGTTTCAGGTCCCTTGATGTGCCCCTGTCCACCCTAAGGAATCCCTCCTCTGTTTATAAGCCACTCTTTTTTTAAAATTGTTATTTATTGTTTTTATTTTATGTGTATGTGTCGTGCAATGTCCACGGAGGACAGGAGAGGCTGTCAGATCCCCTGGGACTGGAGTTACGGACAGTTGTCAGCTGCCATGTGGGTTCTGGGATTCGAACCCGGGTCTTCTGCAAGAACAACCAGTGTTCTTAACCGCTGAGCATTTTTCCAGTTCCCTATAAGCCACTCTTACACAGTGATTTGGTGTCAGCTTATTGCTATGATTGAATTCACAAGGCTGCTTCATGTTTGGGGCCTGCCACCATCTCTACATATCTTTGACCGGGTCCCTGTCAGGAAAGCAACAGAAGACCAAAGGGTGCGATCATTCCATTGACTTCGGCCACAGACCCTACTTCTACTGACTTGTCTGAATGACGAGTTTCTGTGAAATGCTCTCTGGTGCAACAGAACTTCAAATAATGCACATCCATTTCTCATAATCCCACCCAGCATTCCAAAGTGTGGAGTCACCATGCCACATTACAGTTAATACCTGAGTTAAACAGCCCCTTAAGTCAAGTTTTTAAGAGGGGGGTCGAATTCGGTAGATGCCATTCCTCCTGGAACTAATTGTCCCTGGAACTGTGTCTCCAAGTCAGGCCTCATCACTTTCTGTTTCTCCAGGTTTAATTGAGGAAGTACAAGCTTAAATTCTCCTTTTCTTATTAGACAATCTTGTTTTCTCATCCACAGTCCAAGAATATCTCATACACATGATGCCAAGTATCCTTTCTCAATCCTCATGTTTTCAGTGAAGATGAATCCGTTGTCCCTCAGCACTTTGCTATGTTGATTCTCAAGCATACCCATATTCATTCCCTATCTTGGGGTATAGCAAACTGAGGTTCCCAGAAAACAAGATTAGGTGCCCAGGTCACAAGAACACATGGTCCAATGAGTTTGTCAAGGTTAATTAGAAGTCATTATTCCTGATTCTGTCTATTTTATGTCTTACACCAAAGTTCAAACTGAACAAAACAAGAATGATGTGGTTATTGAATCATATTGAAAGTATAAGGAAGAGAAGGGAAATTTCAAGCATGCAGACACGTAAGTGTGCTCTGTGGAAGCAGCCAGAGATAAGGTTAATATCACCAGTACATGAGAAAATTGCTAGCAGTTTACAAGCCTACTCAGGGGTGGGGGGGGGAGTCTGGCCTGCAACTTTTGTATAATTTGGCTCAATTGAAAAGATAGGAAATTTAAGAGTATATGTTTAAGAGCTAGAGCACATGATACAGATTTGAAAACTACATTGTTTACTAGCCCTACACCACAGCCCATCCAAATTGGGGATGTGCCATAGCTATAAAGTATAACCAAACTTATAAGAAAAAAATGAACCAGGCATGATTGTGCACGCCTTTAAGCCCAGCACTCAGGAGGCAGAGGCAGGCAGAGCTCTGTGAGACTGAGGCCACCCTGGTCCACATAGTGAATTCCAGGCAGGCTGGAGCTGCAGGTGACCCTGTCAAAAAAAGAAAAGAAAAGATCTCACTAATGATTTTCAAATGATCGCATGGATTCTGGGCATATTAAAGGAACTATATTATTAAAGTTCATTTTACCTGTCTCAAGCAATGTAAGATTGCATATGGGGTTTGCATTGTATTTCTATGAGACAGAATTGAGTACTGGCATTTAATAGTGAAGGAACTAATCTGAGTCCCTGGAAGGAATGAACCTGGATCTTTCTGATTTCAAGAGGAAGAGAGAAAAAAAGGCAAATATGGAGGAAAGAGTAATAAAAATAAAAGTCAGTGGAGAAGGTAAAGGGCGAGTAGGGGAGGAGAGAGTATGGGAGAGGTGGCAGAGGACAGCCAGGTGAGGACAGAAAGAGACAGAGATGCAGGGACTATAAAGAAATTAAGCTTCTGTTTCCTCAGAAGTCAGAAAGGCAGCCCTTGATAGGGGAGAAGCAATAGAGCTTTAAGATAAAAGTTGAATGAAGAGAAAAGTTACCATCAGAAAGTCTAGAAGGAAGCTGCTTAAAGCCCTCATCATATTAGAAGGTTCTTATGTAGCATTAAATTCAGATTCCCAAATAACATCAGAAGAACTACACAGTTCAAACACTCAGTTCAGTAAGAAACAGCAGCACAGTCTCACACACATCCTGACCTTGGCCTAGAGTCAAAGTTTGGCAGAGGGGGTGTTTCTGGTCATTTTCAAATACTATTGCTCAGAGGTTCTGTGATGTCTAACGGGCAGGGGAGTGAGAGTGGGCAGTGCAGTAACGAGGTGGTTGTAGCGTTCATACAAGCCATCTGAATTCAGTCCTGTCCTTTAGCTCTCCATAAGAGGATGCCTTTCCTTGAAAGCCCTTTGAAATGCTTCAGTGCTCCTCAATAAACATCAATTCCTCTTAAGTCGGGCTTGTCAGCTTGTCTTCTATCCAGCCTTTACGTGGCTCCAGGATATGATTGTCACAAACACCTGCCTGAGTAAGATTATGAAATGTGGTCATAAAATAAGTGATTATTTCTAAACTCATCTTTGTTGCATTGCAATGCTTCACAAAGCACCTTTCCCTCGGCTACAATTCATTTCAATTGATTCCATCAGCACAGTATCTTTTTCCTAAGCAGCCCTACCATACCCTCTAGTTCAGGAGAAGACAGTCGGGTTATGGGTTTCTTAATAATAAGAATTACCAAGGAGCAGTTTGAGGATGATAGGAGAAATGCAAATTTTAAAGAGACGTAATAAAAGAAATAATGAGTATCCATTTTGCTTCTTAGAAGTGAACGATTCTAAACTCCCTGCAGCAATGCTTAACCTATCGTATTGAGCAGTAATGGACAAATATTGAAATGTTGACGTCAGCTTTTAGAATCTGTTGGCATCAAAATATCATTTAAAAGTTAAGTTCTCCCAAGTATTTTGTTAAGTTTCCTTCCACAACATTCGTTTCCCAAGAGAATAGAGCATCAAACCTCAGAAGAATAATTTTCTGTGTGTTAATGATTTGCTTACTGGTTCATTCCAGAGTGTGAGCTAGAGAAAAGGGAAGTGACTAATTTATGTCCCATGATTTTTCTGCTATGTCACAATTGACAGCAGTCATTTCCCATTGCAGAAACGATTTGCAGAGCCTAGAAAATTACCATTCAGCTAGCTGAGGCAGAAGCTTCAACACTAAGCAGAGCACAGGCCTCAAGGCTGCTCCTTCACCACAGCCTTCTTGAGACTGTACCTGCTGATCCTCTGTGACAGGAGAAAGCCTTAAAACAACGGCCCCAGTTACACAGGCAGCCCTTCTTTCCAGCTTTTCTCTAAAGAAGAATTACTAGGACTGAAAGGTGAGTTCTTTCAGGAGAATGAGAAAGTTCTGATAGAATGAAAACAGCCTGACAAGGTTTCCTTTCAGACTATTTCAAGATGAGAAGGGACTTCACAAGCATAATTTATTTGAAGTGACTATGGGTGGCTCCTTTGAGAAGTTAAATGAAAGATGACCTCTAGCATGAATTCTGTTGTGCTAAGAGGACTTGGTAAAAACATCATTAATCAATCAGAGCATTGCCAATACAATGCTTCTCTATGAAGGTACCCAGAAACCACTACAAGAGAAGGGACATGTGCATTTGTGATGAGCCCATGTGCCAGACCAGCTTTGACTGGAAGCTTAGAAATAACAGAAAGCACTCATTTTCCTTTGGAGGCTAACTGGTCTACCCTAGAAAGAAAGGAGACTACCAGGACAAGTGCTATGTCTAATTCCCATGATGGTGTTTTGCAGTGGGCATGGCTACCACGCCCTTTAAAACCTCCTTTTTCCTGCTTTTGAATGAAGAGACAGGACTCAGAAATAAAACCAGAGAACCTGGGAACAGTGCTGGGATGACAAGCAAGGTCTTCTGAGTCCAAACCCAAGTCATTCCTCCAAGTCCTCCCCACAGTGGGGGATGGTTTCAAAGATATTTATTTAATGGTCATCTTTTATTTATGAGAAGCAATAATAACCAGTAATAAAATAGTAATAATAATCTTTTCTCTTAAGTGATCTAAAATCTTCCCTTAGGCTGGGCATGCTGGCTTTCGCCTTTAATCCCAGCACTTGGGAGGAGGCAGAGGCAGGCAGATCTTTGTGAGTTGGAGGCCAGACTGGTCTACATAGCAAGTTCCAGGCCAGCTGGGGCTACAGGGAGACTCTGCCTCAAAAAGACAAAAATAAATAAATAAAATCTTCCCTTAAGATGGTTAAAAACTAAGATTTATTTAAAGGTAATAGCTTAAATAGACACAAAATATGAAAAATAGCATTGCATTAAATACATCTACTTATTGTAAGTCAAAGGGAAACAATTTTAAATAACCGGTATTTACTGAGCATTCCTTAAAACTCATGCAAAAGAGGTTAGTAGTCAAACTTAGACACACTGAGGAAATGCTCCCTCAGCCTGGGGGCTGCCTCTTCCACATTCTTAGGAAAGTCCCTTTGTGTTAAGCAAACACTCTTGAAGGGAGCTTCTCTTCTCAGCAAACTGAGATCACAGTTGGGAAATTAACAAGTACCTGCCCTACATTTCATTCAGACAGTCAGAATCTGTGCTTTTAATAGTGACAATTAACTAACATACACAAGTAATGCAAAGCAACAGAGGATGCAGAGTGGAAACCTAGGATCCAGCTTCCTGTCCCAGACATCTTAAGGTAGGAAAGAAGGGTAGGAATGGGACAGGCATAGAGGGGCGTGCAAGGGTTCCTGGGTACGTCCATGCGAGGATTCCTGCGGATGTCCTGCTACCTGGAGAGGGTAACTTGTTCCTACTGCCAGCAACAGTGATGAACATCAATTAAATTTCCAGAGTTATTCTGGTAGCATAGCAATATCAGTAACTTCCTGAAGAACTTTTTTTATTTGTTTTGGGTTGGGTTTTTACGGAAATTTTTTGGTTTTGTTTTTTACAGGAACTCTACCAACATCAAACCATGTTTGAGCAATATCACCTGCTGATATCATCAGCAAATGGAACTTACTAATGTGACTCCTGAGTTCTAAGATGCACTCCCCCCGACACACACCCCATTTCTGAAACCTGATTGTTCTTGACATCGCTCAATTTGTTCTTTTGTTCTTCTTAGTCCTTGTATCTCATTCCTGATTTCCTCCTTGGAGTAAAGTAAAAATAATGTTCACATGCGCCTACAGGAATTGGGATCCGTCATAATTTTAGAAATACAGAATCAGCTGGGTGTGATGGGGCACAACTTTAATCCCAGCACTCTGGAGGCAGAAGCAGGCAGATCTCTATGAGTTCCAGGACAGCCAAGGCTATAGAGTGAGACCCTGAGGAGGAAGGAAGGAAGGGAGGGAGGGGGGAGGGATTCCTGGCATAGTGGCACACTCCTTTAATCCCAGCACTCGGGAGGCAGAGGCAGGCAGATGTCTGTCAGTTCGAGGCCAGCCTGGTCTACATAGTGAGTTCCAGGCCAGCTGGGGCTACAGGGAGACCCTGTCTC